AATAACAATTGTTGATTTCAACATAGACATTAAGTCCTCGGTAGTATAGTGGTCAGTATCCCCGCCTGTCACGCGGGAGACCGGGGTTCGATTCCCCGCCGTGGAGTATTTTTTTTTATTATTATTTTTGCACTATATTGAAAACTCAAAATTATTTCATGATCCATCTCTTATTTTAAGTTTAAATCAGAGAGCACGTAACATCTCAGATTCTACTAGGTTTTTGTGCTCGGGCTATTTTATTCTGCTCATTTTATTTGAAAACTTTTGACAACAAGTTTGTACCAACACGAAACCTTATTCAGACTATTAACATCAAAACAACTTTTTGGAATGAAGTAGCCCATACAATTTTATCAAAAAAGGGAACGCTCTACAGGTTTTACATTCCAAATCTAAATCGTGTTAGGTACTCAGCTTCTGCACGTTTGTAAAGTTTTTTCCCCGTAACAGTCAACAAAACAATATCTTAAAATTTCAAGAGATTATCGATGTTCGTGAAGGTAACACGCTTTTTTATAGGAAGTTTATAAAATGTAATTAAAATATTTTTACCATACACAAGAGTTGTGAAAACACTGTTTTTGATGTGATTTCTGCTAATGATAATAGGAACATGAAAATTAACGTAGTGTATTTGAAATTTACTCATAAATTTATACGACTGTTCGGCAACCTGCAACTTATGGTTTTTGTTAAATTATGAAGGACAAATCTGTTTGTCTGTCTTGTTTAAAAATATTTTCATTTTACACACCTTAAGGAATTTCTGCTCTAAAACCAAGTATTCTATTACTACCAAACAGAATTGAAAAAAAAATTAATAATTTCCAAGGGAAATGATAAAAATGTATTTTGTGTGTATTTCATGTTTTAAAATATTTGCTTAAAAATATGTGTCCTGAGAAAGTTTTTTTTACAATCAATCACGTATCTAATAAAAAAAAAAAAATACGACCAGGCCCCGACGAGATTCGAACTCGTGATCTCCTGTTTACTAGACAGGCGCTTTAACCAACTAAGCCACGGCGCCGATGTAGATATTTTGTAAAATAATGATCATCAACTTGGTATTCTGAACCTGTAAAATTAGACGTTGTTACTTCAAAATTTTCCGATGTTGTTTCCATGTTTTAGAATTTTGCGATACCAATTCCAATAAATATGATTTGTACTTCATATTTCTTATAAATAGAAGACATGCATACATATTATCTTGTCCAGAAAATGTTTATTTTGAATTCAATTCAAATAAGATTCCTCTTGGCTGGGATTTAATCAAATAGGTGAATGAATGTCATTACGATGTCATCGATAACATAAGTAGATCAAACTTATTCCGTGACATAAAAAATCGTAATTCATGAATGAATTGTGTGTATTTTCTATAATGTTATCCAAATTGGTACTGAAGGGCCTTAAGGCAAGTGTCTTACGACGAAACATCGGTGTCTACCGGTGAGGATGACAGTGTTCCATGTAAGTGCAATTTGTTACCATTCATTTAAAGTAGAACTCCTGTGAATGATATCTGATTTTATCCATAACGAATGTTTGGAATACAAACTGAGTAGAGAAAAGTATCTTCTGTATAATTCAGTGTTCATATGAAAGTACCTATTTGTTTCGAAAGAATTTTTTTTCGTGTAATTCAATGTTTATATGAAAGTAGTTGTTTCAGGAGGGCTTTCTTCCAGTTTGTGTCTGAAAGTTGCTTCTTTGCATGATCTACATATCCATGTATAGAGTTACTTATTTTCAAATTGATTACTTCCTTCCTTTCTTTGGAAGACTCCCACATTTTTTTTGTATCAAGATGAAGTAGTAGAAAGCCATAAACTTTCTTTCCAAAAAATGTTTGTGTTGTTTTTAAATTACCGAACTCATTTTTGGTGACACGCATATTCAAAGATAAAAAAAATTCATAACTCAAATTCGAATAAGAATATTTCAAAACGGCAACTACATCGTGTGAAATGGAGTCCATACGTCTGTACCAGAATATGATAAACTCATTAATTCAACAGTTCAGCGAAAGATTCAGCCAGTTCAAAAGCCTAGAACATACAGCTGAAATGATTAAGTATCCTGATGTAGTTGATTGCAATGTTTTGGAATGGATCCAAATTGACGATTTAGAGATGCAATTGATAAATTTTTAGAATACCTAGCATTTGGACTCAAGAATTTGTTGAATTGAGATCACTAGTTGAAAATATGGACGAAATAGTTTAGAGGACGAAAATGAGTACAAAGAAAATTTTAAATCTTGGAACAGATTATCTGACTCTTATGCCAAATTGAAAGATTTAGCAATGGCTGAGATAATAACTTTTTGATTCACATATTTTTGTTGGACAGCATTGAATCGGAATCGGTTAACAGATAAAGTAATTGGCGCTTGTCACTAATTTTATATTGTTTTTTGTTTTTGTTCAATCAATTGACTTGAAAAAAGCATGAAGAATAGTTTTTGTTTACCTCTGTGATGGGTGACACGCCACGAGAAGTATGTTTCGATTTTGCAAATTTTGACACACCGAGCCCTAAATAATCACCATCACTGTCTTAGAATGACCCACCAGATTACCAGATGCCCTTGATTTTTCTGTGGAGATTGGTATACATTACACAACCACAATCTATTCCAGAACTCATGCTTAGAATAAGAGGTGCCCCTAACGAAATCACCCCAGAAATGTGAGAAATGAGTTTTGATATTTACTAGTATTTCTTGAAGTGCAACAAGAATTTTATACAGCGTGACTCACGGTCCCCTGTATATAACAGGTCCCCTGTATATTACTCGATAAATTTAAAGATTATATATCATGTCCCTATACCTAAATGATAAAGTTTTTTTAATAAAGTCACTTCTTCTGGAAACATTATTTTTTTGAGAATTCGTGGTTTGAAATGGACGGGGTGCCAGCTCATTCCACTCAGGAACTTTCAATGGAACTTTACGAAATATTTGACGATCGTTGGTTTAGGCGTTTAGGACCGTGGGATTGGCCACCATGATCACTCGATCTCACGCCACTTGACTTTTTATGGGATGTTTCAAAAGAAAGGATGTACAGTACTCCAGTGCCTACCAAAGAAGAACTGCGACGGCGAATAGTGCGGTGTATTGAAGATGTGGATCCCCATGAAATTGAAAAAGCAACCACAAGTCGCGTACAAAAGAACATTTTGAAATGTTTATAATGTAATGGACATGATTTCCATTATTTATTGTAAAAACTGTGATATTTTGTTAACAATTTTGTTATTTTTATTCATCTTAATTCTGTTATTTTCTGTACTTTCACATGTTATAGCCCAGAAAATCTTAATTTTTACCTAGAAGTGCCTGGTTTTTGGTACTGTTGTTCCATGGAAACTTTGAACCATAGTTAAGGAAATTATTTTGTACAAAATTCCTCTCGTTCATTGGTGTTAATTCAAGATACATTTGGTTGAATTTCCTGCAAGTTCTGACAATGATTTGATCACTTTGTTCATGTATAATAAATAATTTCATTAAAACTTCGTTTGAATAATCGATATTTGCATTCATTTTGGAAGAGGTTTTGAAACACCGTCAATAACTATTTTTAAATTACTTATAAAAGTAACCAAACTGTTATCAGCTTGATAATTCCACTGCTACCTGAAACCAAATTCTTAAAAAAAATATGTGTCCAGAAGTCACTTTATTAAGAAAACTTTATGATTCAGGTATAGGGACATGATATATCATCTTGAATCATTTTTCATCATCTCTAAATTTATCAAGTAATATACAGGGCGTCTCAATTGAAAAAATTGATTTTCGACACATTTTATGCATAAAGGAAATAATAGTTATTTTAACACGCCTTGTATGATATGGAGTCGATTTCTTGGTGTTAATTAAATATTCCGAGTTTGTCCAAACTATCATCAAAATATTAACTTTTCATGAATTGAGAGTACTGCCGGGCTTAAGATTAATTAGGGTTATGTTTAGACCATATTTAGCATAAATTATTTTTTAATCTAGAAAACCGATAGATATAGGTATGGGACATTATCAACAAAAAGTATTATAATAAAAGAGCGATTCCAAAAATGTGTTGATATACAAGGTGTGCTTTTTAAAAAAAAATAATTTCATCAGTTCGGACTTCCATTGTCTAATATAATATAAATTGATCTGAAATCCCTGAAAAATAATAAAAGATTAACGGAAAATAACAATTTTATTAAAACAAAAACTAAAATTACAAGGAAATAACATACAAGCTACAACCAGAAAATAAAAAATTGAAATATTAATAAAAGCTGAAAATTAAAAAATATTATAACAAAGGGATATAAGACAATGAAAGTCCGAACTGATGAAATACACCACGAAACATTGTCATCCACCTTTAAAAAAATTAAGTTGCTAAGACTTTTTGATAGAAATGGCAACGCCGCAGTGTTGAAAATATTTTTGATCGATAGAACAGGTAAGGAAATGTAAAATGTGAAATTTTCAGAAAACCCTGCTTTGCGTTAATCATAAACGTCTAACCTAGCACCGACCGTGAGTCACGCTGTAGATATATGAAACTATGAGCTTGAGAAGTGTAATCTCTTCATTGATGACATATGAAAGCCACTAAAAAAACGCATAAATTTGCGATGCATCAATGCTTTTTACAACTTTAACCATCGCAAATCGAGAAAATGACTATGGGAGTGCATAAGGGTCACGTTTTTATCATTTGTTTTTTCAAAATTTTGACTTTGAATGTCAAAATGTCGACTTTAATTTCGATATTCCGACTTTAATTTCAAAATTCCGACTTTACATTTCAAAATTTCGACTTGGATTTCGAAATTTCGACTTCAATCTCGGAAGTTCAAAGTCGGAATTTCTTGTTTGAAGTCAGAATTTTGAGCTAATGTTGAAATTTCGAGTTTATTTTGAGAGTTTAATTTCGAGTTTGAAGTTCAAATTTACAGATAAGTCGAAATCTCGACTTCAATTCCATGAAATTATAATGAAGACTTTTTTCAGTGATGCGGCTCATAGGATCCACCCCTTAGCTGGTCAAGGAGTGAATCTGGGATTTGGTGATGTTGTTTGCCTGAATAGGATTTTAGGGAATGCTGTATATTCAGGAAGTAAATTGAGTGAGTCATATGGGATACAATTTTTTTATGGCAAATACTGATCGCTCTTTTCTTCGATATATTTATTCAAAATAGAAGAGGAATATATTCCTCACTAGAGGAATATAATAAGCTTCAGCAGTATGAAAGGTTGAATGATTTTATGATATTTTAGTTCCTAAATATCCAATGAGGTAAGTTAATGCCCTATGATTTCATTTTAATAAGAACGAGATTGGAAAAATCAATTCTTAACACCATTAAGGATTATTTTTGGATTACCGTTATGAGATGAATCGATCACATTCAACTCTATATATTCAACAAAAATATAAATAGGTAGTAATAACTGCATAATAATAATGATAATAATATTGTTCAGCCTGGAATCTGTTGAGCAAAAAGCTCAGATAAAAGCCGCAGAGATCACCTTACTTGTGCGGAAACACAAGGATAAGCCATGGGGTCTTCTTCAATAACATCGGAGACCTTGGCTTATCAAAGCGCCTGACCTTCGCTTTTCTCAGGTCGAGTGGGCTGAAGTGGGAAACTGAGGGGTTCATCATTGCTTGCCAGGATGGTGTCTTCAACACCTTAGTCTACCGCAGTCGCGTGATAGGAATAGAGTTCCTGTCACAAGGTGCAGGGCCTGCCGCGAGGCGCCCGAGACCCTAATGCACTTGCTATCAGCATGTCCAGCATATGCGGTCTCGGCCTATATCCATCGACATAACGCGGCCCTAAGAGTGCTATATTACCATCTACGGCACTCTTACGGTATTGACGAGACACCGGTGTTGCCCTACGCTCCGGGGGATATTGAATCCGTTGTTGGTAACGAGAAGTGCCGAATTTATTGGAACTATTCGTTCCCCACCCTCAGGCTCATACAAGCTAATAAGCCTGATGTAGTCCTTCTCGACCACCAGAGCAAAACGATATTTGTCGTGGAGTTTTCAGCTCCTGGCGAGACGAATATCGTCAGAAAAGAGGAGGAAAAACGGATAAAATATCGAGATTTTCTCTTCGAACTCCGCAGACTCTATCCAGATCACTCTGTCAAGATGGTTGTTCTGATTATTGGAGTCCTTGGTGGAATGATGCCCTCTCTACTCTCGAATCTTAAAATCATACCGGCTTGCTGCACTAAGGCAGAAATCTTAGCCGCACAGATGCAGAAGGATGTCATTCTTGGCTCACTGCGCTTGCTCAGGGCACATGCTTCTAGGACCCAATGATCACTTACCCCACGATGTGGGGAGTGGTCATTGGTTGATAATGCTGGCGCGCTCTCCCGAATGTATCGGGACTTCGGGGGATAGGGCCTGACCAGTGCACACTATGTTGAAAAAAATAATAATAATCATAACTTCGTTCACTCAACAGATATCTGTACAGAATACAAAATATAAATACATTTTAAAATAATTAAGTGAATGAGTCAGTAAAAAACGATAAGTAACTGATAAGTATTGGAAAACATTTACTAAAATATGTGATGCAATTGGCCGATACTTGATGAAAATCCATAATAACGTATTTTAAGAAACATTTCATTCCGAGATTTTTGTTTTATTGTGAAAATATCATGATAAACGTGTTTACTAAAATAACCTTGTACAGAAAATTCTTATAAAAACAAGATAAGGACAATTTCTAGTGAAATGTATCAACCAGTGGCATAGGTACTCAAATATTTTTCATAATATCAGAAACTGGTAATGAATTGAATGTTTTCTATTCATATAAAGAAACACAAGTTGTCGGATTCTTTTGAGATAAAGATATGTTTAGGGTTTAGATATGTTTAGTTGAAAGACACGCCAGATGAAGCCATTGCATGGCGAAACACGTGTTGCGTTTTTGTAAAACAATCTAGTGAAAATCTCACAATAAGGTGTTTTTGGAATACGTTAGTTATGGATTTTCATCAAGTATCGGCCGATTCCATCATATATATGTTTAGGGAATATACAGGGTGTCCCATATAAAACTTCGCGGGCAATTATTTGGAAAATGAAGGAGAATATCCACATTTCATGAAAGCAGATGATTTTGATGTCAAAGGGTCCTCTCATTTACGTAGAGTGATTCTGTCATTCCCGTATCCAGCGGGGCTATGTGGAAGCAGACATCCGATGGCCGGTTTGCTTAACCCCCACATCTCAAGCCAATGCACTCGCAGCAGGAACAGTGGTTCAGGCAGTGAAACATGAACAAGGACAACCAACCCTCCGAATGCCATGTAACGTTGCAGAATCATCCCAACTTCAACTAGATAAATTTTCTCAAAAAAAATATCTGGTCGAGGTTGTGATCGAACTCACGACTTTTCGTTCATTAGTCAAAAGTAAGGCTGTTATACTAATTGATGCCACTTAATACTCAATTTGTTATATAAATATCATACATATTATTTAAATGATGTTAATAATTCCGTCTCCGCTCGAAGAGGTTTGTGATTTTGAATAATATGTAAAAAACAATCATTCGAAATGATTCGACTATAAATATGATATATATGACTTCATCATTATCATTATCTACAAACCTTAGGCGACTTCATTAATAGTCGAATAATTAACCAATTCAAAATCAGCAGGGTTATTCTGCTGCAAAAGTGCCATAGCTGTGCTCGCTTACAGCAGTATAATGAAGTTGGGTGCCAATCATTCAAAATGTACCCAAGATAAGGGGCATAGGAAAATAGGAAATCATGAGAAATACCAAGCCGGTTTAAAATTTACTAACTAAACGAGAGATTATGATGCTAATCAGTGAAGTTGTCTCATTTCGGATGATTATTTTTTCGGGTTCTTATAAAAAAATATGGTAAAGGGTCTTCTGATTTTCAATATCTTCTTAAATGACATGAGAAAAATGTTGAAAGAAAAATCTTTGGAACTAATAGGGAGTTTCCTAAATTTCAAAACGACATTTAAATGAGTTCTTAAGTGGGCAACTCTCTTCTAATTCAGCCGTTTTTGTATCTCTCACGGTTTCCGATTTTCCTATGCTAGCCCTACTGATACAAATCCTGTCTAGTTCATATAACGGCTTCAAGCAGGATTACAAAATTACCAGGATAACTCTGCAGATGTAGTTCTTTCAAAAAATGAAATGAGAGTATCTGAAGACCTATAAAATAAATCGATGTAAGCCACTGCTTTCTAATTTTATTTTCGTGCTAACGTCGAAATTGTAACAGGGAGATCTTTTATACCTACCCATTTTTAATTTCAGATGACCTGAGTTATTTAAAGGAATATGAAACGGAAAGACAGAGACACAATGTACCCACCATGTTGGCCGTTGAGGGGCTGCATCGGCTATACAATTCGAATTTCACCCCTGTCGTTCTACTGAGAAGTCTGGGACTGCAAGCTACCCACGTTATGAATCCTCTCAAGGTTGGTGTGTATTGTACTAATAATACTGAATTGATCATTCAGAAATCCTAGTCGGGTACTTTTCTCGAAAAAATATATTATCATTATTGCTGAAATTAACAATGAGAAACGTAACATACAGCCAGTTCTCTTAATCAAACCTGGTAGTTATATTTCTTAAATTAAAAGTGTCAAATATTCATCTTGCATTAAAAAATGACTTCGTCTCATACAGAAATTTTAATTCAGTTTAAAATATGATAATAAATATAGGTTGAACAAATAAGTCAACCAACTGAGTGTCATCGTTTGAAAAATTTTAAGCGAGAAAAGTGTATAGAGCAGGGGTGGGCAAGTAGTTTTAGGTGGGGTCCGGATACTGTGGGAAAATTTTAACGGGCTCCAGAAAAATAAACAAATATTAATAATAAAATGCTATTGCATGAAGCACGGATAGGCCAAATTCCAATCTAGTTGTGTCCAGTTCGGTTGCAAAGGAGATTTTTTCAATATTATTGAAATCTTTGCATGTGAGACAACAGATAAAACATATTTGTGTTGATGTAGTTTCCGTGAGTGCATTACACACCTTGTCGTCATCCATTGTGAGTAGCAATTCGAAGTTTACCCCAAAGATTTCCAACTTTGATATGACTGAGAAAGAGAAAAGTCCTTAAATATTCCATCTTTGTTTCCATTCTTAAAACTTACTTTTCTTATCTAAATCTCAAAATCGTTACTTAATTCAGGAAATAAACTGTTTATGTGATCTCTGTACCAAAATCAATAACCTTGAATAAATTAAAGCTAGAGTTATAGAAGACTGGGAAAGAAAGGTTATGACTTTCTACTTCTTCATTCAAAAAATGTGGGGAAGAATCAATCAATTTCAAAAAATTAACTGTATACAAAGATGTGTTGTTTATGCATATAATCATCTTTCAGACACAAACTGGAAGAAAACCCCTCTCGAAACAGCAACTTCCATATAAACATTGAATTACACGAAACAAAACATATTTTCGAAAGTATTCAATGTTTATATGAAAGTAGCTGTTTCGAGAGGACTTTATCTTCCAGTTTTTGTCTGAAAGTAACTTCCGTGTATGATCTATATATATTTGTATTGAATTAATTTTTCTATTTTCATTAGTAATCAAAAAAATAAAAAAACCCTATTATTTCCATTCCTAATGCTCCCCTTTGCCCCAAAAACACATTGAATGGGTAATTATTGCGCTGTTGCAGCCAATATGAAGTACCAAGTACCAAGATAAAATCCACAAATTATTTTAAATAGTCAAAAATTAATAGTTATTTATGTATCAAGGGAATTAGGAGGGCCTTAATTACCGATGGCAAAGTTTGCGTCTCGAGGGCCTCTGGCCCGAGGGACAGCAATTGCCTGAGGTTATTAAGGCTCATTAATTCCCGTGGTACATAGATAATTTTATTTCTGACCGATTTCAATAAAATTTTGTTTACAACAATGTGGGAAACGGTTTTTTCTATATAGGTTTATGCCTGTAGATTCATCAAAAAAGACAACAACAATGTGGGAAACGGTTTTTTCTATATAGGTTTATGCCTGTAGATTCATCAAAAAAGTATTTAGCAAACAATATAGGTACTGAAGATCCCAGATTTTCCGGTAATGAAACACAAAGGTGTTCATATCTATTGTAGGAACTTGTGACTCATTTATTTTTCGTACAATGTTCCATGAATGGTCAACCTCATATAATCATACTTTCTGATTTCGGATGAACCAATGTATCCAAGATAATTTTTGTATTTTTTATAAATCAGCACATTACCTAAATAAACGCCGCGCTGTCCTACTTACTCTATTGATTTTTCAGAAATTCGCACAATAAGCTTTGACGTCAGTGGGATTTGCCAGAAGAAAGAATAACGTTATTCAACGTTGCCAGACTACCAAAATTTTTATAAGTATTTTATCATAGGTTACGATTACATTGTTTGCTTTTATCGTTGGGCAAAAGAAATATCTATGGAACTGATTTAAGTATTAGTGTTTTGAAAGAATCAATATTTACTTAATTTTTTGTTTGAAGGTGGTTGACAATGCTTCGTGGTGCATTTCATTAGTTCGGGCTTCCATTGTCTATTATGATATAAAATGATTTGAAATCCCTGAAAAAATCCGTAAAAAAATTACGTAATTTTTAATACGTTTTGTTCCTGCATTCAATCCAAAAACCAAAAAATCAACGGTTTCATATCCGTCCTTTCCATTTTTTTTGTTATGTAAAAATGGGCAACCTTAAAAGATATAAAATCGCTGCAATTAGAATTTTTTTCGAATGATAATTTAAAATTTTATGAATTCCGATTATGTTACACAACAGTGAAGTTGTCGACAAAGCTTAGGTAGTTATAACTTAATGAAAAGATGAAATTGGTTGATTTTTCGGAGATGAAACTTCAGATTAACAATTCGTAAAAGCCATCTTGTACACCCTGAAAAGTAATAATGAAAAAATGTGTTTTTGTGTTTAAATGACAGTAGACAAAATAAAACGCAAAGTTTTATAAATTAACAGGAATTTTCTGAATTTTAAAACGTCACTCACATGAGTTTCAAAATGGCAACTTTTTCCTAATTCAACCGATTTTGTAGGTACCTATCTCTCACGGTTTCCGATTTTCCCATGCTAGCCCTATTATCTTGGAACAAAATGTTTGATTTCCTTTATTTAGTTCTATACATACAATCATAAGTCTAATGACATATTGATTGTTCATTGTTCGAGACCGAAAAGAAGAGGTGTTTGTTTTTATTAGTAGAAATTCCTCGTGTTACTGATATAGGGAAATAATGGTCATATATGTGGCAACGCTGATTGAGTAGGATGTAAGCCATCCATGCTAATAAATTGTGCAATTCTTCAAATATCTTACGAATGTTTGATTTTGCCTATTTCAATATATTGATATCATTTCAAAACTAGATCATGAGCAATAATGCAGCCTTCTCAAAATCTCATATACCAGTTATCATCATTTTCACTTGGAACTGTATTTCGTTTTGTGGTGTAGGATTACAATTCCCAGTACCTACCTGTGTATAAAAGCCGGACTACACCCAAAATGTCCTTCATTATTCATTGAGTCTTTGTGGTGTACGTTAGTTTGAGTGAATTGTTGCTGCTGCAAAATTCATGAATGTGGTGTAGTGGAAATATGTTCCTGCTTGCTGAAAATAAGCTGCTGTGCTGTGGAGAATAACATTTCTGGTGTATCTCAGGTGTGTTTTAACCCAAAATCCTAGAGTTCTACTTATATTGAGAAGGTATTCTCTGAAAAATGGGCCTTTCACCAAATAATAATAATGAAACCATTGCCTTTAAAACAGCTGAATTAGCTGATTGGATTGGATCAATCAGAGTAAAAAAACTAAAGTTTAAACATAATAAACGACGAAACTTATTCGCCGAGGCAGTTTTGAACAAGGCCCTATCCAAAGCTGAAACAGAATTGCGTCGAAAACAACAGGAAAGGAGAATGAAATGGAAATATTTAAAATCTTCTATGGGTATTTGTCAAAATGAGAGCTGTTGTACAAATACTTCACTCAATATGGATATCAAAGTCTTTGAAGAAATAAATAGTAGTATAGATAAATTCATGTTAGAATTGAATCAAATCAAAGATACCGTCAAGCGGTGACATTTTTGTATTTTTTATTAATTGATCAAGGCTGTTACCAATTTTATTATCTGTGATACTATGTATAATTTTTCTATTACAGTCACTTTTTGGGGGACGACCACTCTCCGAGCCAGGAATTCATCCATTTGGTTTGTAAATTATTTTTCTTTGTATGTACTTTTTAATTCACCTCTATTAGTGACTTTCCTGTAAATAAAGTGATATTAGTATTTGAATAAAACAAAGTAAATTGTATGGCTTAATAATTATTATCCCTCCTTTACTAATGTGTTTTAACTTTACATGTTTTTGCGCAAGATGATGCTGTGTACAATGCCTTCGTCTCTTTCGAACAAGAGCAAATTATGTTTTCCTTGTAATCGCCGAAATCACCTGGGTAAGCGAAAATCACTGAACAACTACAATGAATCTCCATATGTCAGAATCATGTGGAGGAGCACTTACAGACCTAAGATCCGCTGTTCCATGTAGGAAGTAGAAATGCTGCCCTAATACGGTAACGACTGTACTTGGTATAATTCACGTATTTATTTGTAAGTACTGATTATTTCAAATTTGTTTGAAAATAAATTTGAGATAATTTGTATTGGTCAAATCATTCCAATCTATATGCATGTTACATTTTGTTAGGTTCTTGAACTTTGAAACATTTGAAACGGTATGTGTCTTGTCTTCAAATGTTTTTTAGTCTGTAAGAGTGATTCTTTGAGTCTGAATGTTCTGAGAGAATGTGATGTCATAATAAGTAAATTTCTGAAATTACAGGGATCCTCGCAAAATATAATGTGCTTATGATTGGAATAATGGTGCAAGAATAAGTTTTTATTTTTGCTTTGAATGCGCTCCTATACTTGAACTGTATTCTATTAGACAATGATTTTTCTTAGGTTGGCAATGGAGCTCATAGCTTTGTCGGCCAGCTTTGCCAACAATTTAGATGATCCCAACTAAAATATACCCACTAGTAGGAAAAATGTGTGAAGCGTTGATGGTACTTAACTACACAAGCCTAGATGGAATTCCTCAGAAATCAGTGGCATCTGAAGTTCATGCATATGTTACTGTGGATTATTTTCTGCAAACCTAGAGGTCGCCGTCTCATTTATGGTAAATATTGAGTTTGCAAACTAAGGCGTGAAAATTCTAATCTGAAGAATGAGCAAATTAACAAATACAAGAGGTGTCCTAAAGGTCGATTTTTTTTTCGAGTTCAAACGGGTGAGCAAGTATTTTCTGACAGTGAAAATATTTTGTACTGCCCGATTTTCCATGAAAAATGCACTTATTTTTAGCGATTGGAGTGCAATACACATGTATATATAAATGACATGATGATGCTTGTATTTTATGACTGAATATGATGAATTTATATCCCCGAAACATGGAGTCCTCGATTTTGGGATGATCTACTCAACAGGTATTTATGAATGTTTTGCATTCTCTCAAAAACTCCTCTAAAATATTCATCTTTAACAGTATGGGATCCTGATTATTCGATTATTGGGAATATTTTTCTTTCTACATACATCTGATTGGTTCATAATTGGGTTTTGTTTTGTATAGTAGGCCTAATACAAAATCAAACTTTTATTTTGGACAAATCATTATATTATTACTTGAAGTATAGTTTGCAAAAATATTACAGACTTCAAAAGCCGATTGTTTTGATAACACATATTTTCATATAAATATTACTGGAGTTTTTTCCCAACACCAAATTGTTATTTTAACACCTCAACACGTGTTTCGATCACCAAGTGATCATATTCAAGAGGAAGGTAAAAGTGGCTTATCTTCCTCTTGAAGATGATCACTTGGTAATCGAAACACGTGTCGAGGTTTTAAAATAACGGTATGGTGTTGGGAAAAAACTTCAGTAATCAATATTCATTACTACATCATATTTTCATATGTTCTGATTTTTTATTCAATACTATAATCCTATAATGCTTTCGTGCCAAAAAAGTTCGTTTCAAAACATTCCTTTTTTTTGTTGAAAAGTTCCTGAGTGTCAAATGTATCTTGATGGGGGTGCCAAATTATCAATTTTAATAGATATGAGGTGAATGAATGTAGTAGTATTTGATATCAACCTTAGTAGAATTTTTGGAGTNGAAAGTGAATATTCATAAGTACATTTTTATTGGATGGTTTATGCAAAAATTGAGTTTTGTAATTTCTACGGAAGCTATTTTAATAGATTTTAAAAACTGATGAAAGAGTTGGAGATAACTGTCGAAGTTATTTTTCGGGTTTAATGGACGTAGTATGCATTTTTTCATGCCTACACTCCGACCGTTACCTCATCGCCTTTGATAATATCTACCGCAGTAGTAGATAAAATGTCGGGCATACAAACTTGCAGACCACAGCCAAAAAAACCTTGAAAATAGCTTTGACACTGAAAGGGATATCGATAATCCTACAATTTTCAAAAGATTTGAATAAAGATAACTTGTTTTTGAAACTTAAACAATTTCTCCATGAATGAATAATTTATTCAATTTATTTGTAAAAAACTTCAGAATGACCAACACTGTTGGTCCAGAAAGTTTATCTTGTAAATAAGAATAGATGTTAGTGCGAAAAAAGAAATTCAAATTGAAATTTCAATGTTGAGAAAATAACAATATGTGGTATTGGCAGTATATTAAATCCTTATTAATTATGCAAATCGATAGGTCAAAGCTGTTCATTAGCTTTCAATCTTCTACGTTTTGTATATATAATTAGGATTCAATACTCTCCATCAATACCAAACAGAACGATACTAAAGATTGAAATCTTCTCCATTATTATTTTTTGCAGCTCTTCCTTGAATAAAGTTAACAAATTACAAAATGCCGACCTTATAAGAAATATAAAGCACGACCAACCATTTTAAGGGTTGGGAATTTTCCAATTTATATTCCTCTCATTCATTATCTTAGAAGACTCATGACTCATGGAAAGAAGCTATTTGGCTAGATTGAAAAGGTAGGTGTTAGGTTAAATTTTCTAATACGAAGAATTGTCTAGTTATACATTTGAGAATCAACTACTAATCTAAGACCTTTAATTTCAATTACTTCTTTGAGTAAAGTGAAAAAAATGCCTTAAATATAATTTTTGACCTTCGAGAAAGCTGTCTTGATATGAAAAAATGTCACATTGAAGAAAGGAAACTGAAGAAAATTCACTCGGAAGTATCAAAAGCAAATGTAATAAGTGGCAATGACTTTCAACTGTTTTTTTTTGTGACACTTGTATACTAAAATTCAATAATTGGAGTGATGTATATCTCCAAAGAAGACAAATTGACCAAGAAGATATCAGAGAAGTGAATCAGTCAAGAAAGAAGCTTTTTTATTGTTACTAATTAAATTTCAAGTACAAATTTAAAGTTATATAGAATTTTTGAAGTTATATAAATCACACATTTTCAACATTTAATATCATTTGAATCTGTTTTATGAAATTGACTGATTAGTAATTCAACAACTCGACATGTTTATTGTGACTCTTTGATTTAAAAGTTTCATTCAAGATATATGCTGCGTACAAGAGGAATCATTCAAGTAACTATAGAAGATTTTGTCAATTTTTCATTTAGAACTCCACTCTACAAGTGAATTGGTTTTGTGTATTTATAAGTTGCTTACATTTGCCATAGGGAATAACATAAAATAATTGTTCTTCATTCTATTCAGAATATTTACCATTTCAAACTATTCAAATCGTAAAATGACTCTAGAAAAGAACTTTTTTCTCTCAATTATTTTCAAATTTTCATACATGCAAAACATATTTTTGGATACTTCTTTCATTACATAGTTGTATTGAAATTTTAATTTTACAAAATAACTTTTTTCTAGTGTGAGATAATTTCAAAATGAATATAGAGTTGCTAATATTTTTATTAAATCTAGAATTAATTATATAGTTTTTGCTAATATCCAATACAAGATGAAACGTTTAAATATGTGCAATTTCAGAGCTCTCTTCATTCTACCAAAAAATTTTCGAAATTAAGTATAGATGTGAAGATAAAAAATATATTTTATCAGCTTTTATGGAGTATCTTAATTGAAGCTAGGCAAATGAACGGTAGAATCAAGCAGAAAACCCAATGACATTAACTCAGGCAGGGGAAAAGAACCATCGTTATTATTAATTCGAAGCCAAATCAAAAGTAAGTTTGTAACTTTGAAAATTCCTATTGAAGTACAGAATGAAATTCTGTGTGAATAATCACAATTTGAAAATATATTTTCTTCTAAACTTTCAGTAGAGGTCAGGAGGACTTCTACAAAAATCAGTAATTAAAGATGANATTTTCAGGGAACATTTCAAAATTGTACATTTATTATTTGTAATGACGTGAATAAATAAAATATGGTTCAGTTTTCATTTCTATTTATTTTTACTTGTGAAAGGTAGAGGGAATTATAAAATCTATAATGTCCCAAGGGAGTTATGACCCTCTTTATTGATAGCGTAACTATGACGATATAAGCTTATAATATCCCGGTCAGAAATAAAACAGTTTTTAATATTTACGAATTCAATTGTGTATTAAAAAAATGATCAGGTTTGATCATGAAAGAAAATTTAATTTTTTGAATATTTTATTTCTGATTGAAATCAACATTCACAATAATTTTATATGGCCCATAAGGTCTTTTATGAAGGTTTGGTTGTACTGACTACCTGGGAATAGGTAGATACAGAGTAAATGTTCAGGTATAAGTTGTATTATACATTTATATTAAAGAGAAAATGGGAGATTAAGCTTACAAATATTTGCAATGTTCTTATCTTGGATTTTATGACAGACTAAGTAGGTACCTAACGGCTAAAAATGTTTGACAGAAAGCAATTTCTCCCATTATTTGTTTGATTTTTATTTTCTTCTTAATATGCTGTTCTTATATTTTCTGAAAATGTATTTATTTACGTATAGAAATATCTCGAGTTGCGTTTACTACAATTTTTTCAACTGACCCGTAACATAAACCAAAGTTTTTAGTATGGTTACATAATATCAACGTCCTTATTTTATGAAATATAAGATTTTCTTTTTTTTTTTCAGAAAATTATTGTTAATCAAGCTGCCGCCTGATTGCAAAGTAAGTTAATCCTAGGTATGGTCATTGATTTTTTTAAATATTTTCATTCATATTATCGATAGCTAACAAATTCTGATACTGCTGGAGATTTTGGAAAAAAATTAATTTAATAGAAGGCATCTAGAAAAAAAATGTCTACACTTTTATGTTTATTTTGAAGTTATATATAAAATGTATTGCAAAATCGGTTTTATTGGTCATTTTATATACCTATATTACGAATATCAAAAATAAAAGTAAGGAAGATTCGTTATATTTTTAAGACAACAACAATGTGGGAAACGGTTTTTTCTATATAGGTTTATGCCTGTAGATTCATCAAAAAAGACAACAACAATGTGGGAAACGGTTTTTTCTATATTATGAGAGTTTTATCGAAAAATTATGAAATTTTCAATGTTCAGAAGATTGCTAAATTTCATGGATATTCATACTTTTAGGAGATATGCAGGTAAGGCGGTTCATTATGTAGAACAGTACTTTGAAGAAATTTCAAATGTATTTTTGTCATTGTTTTCAAACTTTTTTCATGAAAGATTATTAATATTTCATAAATACATTTTCAAAGCCATTTATTTTGAAAACCTTTGAAACCACATTAGGTAAAGGGAATTTAAAGAATATATAAGAGCTTTCAATTAAAATGAACATAAATAGGTGCTCATATTTCACATAGTCCTAAAATTTGAATTTTGAGTTCATATTATCATTTTCTGTATCTGAAAATGAATCACAACGTATATCCACTAAGCTCAATTGTTAGAAATGTGTCAAATCTCATAATTTTAAAGATGTTACTTTCAAACAAATGCTTTTATTTATAATTATTTCAGATTGAAGCTCTTCAACCTACGTTCTCAGAAGATTTTATCGAATTATTATACATGATACTATGTATAATTTTTCTATTACAGTCACTTTTTGGGGGACGACCACTCTCCGAGCCAGGAATTCATCCATTTGGTTTGTAAATTATTTTTCTTTGTATGTACTTTTTAATTCACCTCTATTAGTGACTTTCCTGTAAATAAAGTGATATTAGTATTTGAATAAAACAAAGTAAATTGTATGGCTTAATAATTATTATCCCTCCTTTACTAATGTGTTTTAACTTTACATGTTTTTGCGCAAGATGATGCTGTGTACAATGCCTTCGTCTCTTTCGAACAAGAGCAAATTATGTTTTCCTTGTAATCGCCGAAATCACCTGGGTAAGCGAAAATCACTGAACAACTACAATGAATCTCCATATGTCAGAATCATGTGGAGGAGCACTTACAGACCTAAGATCCGCTGTTCCATGTAGGAAGTAGAAATGCTGCCCTAATACGGTAACGACTGTACTTGGTATAATTCACGTATTTATTTGTAAGTACTGATTATTTCAAATTTGTTTGAAAATAAATTTGAGATAATTTGTATTGGTCAAATCATTCCAATCTATATGCATGTTACATTTTGTTAGGTTCTTGAACTTTGAAACATTTGAAACGCTATGTGACTTGTCTTCAAATGTTTTTTAGTCTGTAAGAGTGATTCTTTGAGTCTGAATGTTCTGAGAGAATGTGATGTCATAATAAGTAAATTTCTGAAATTACNTTTCATACATGCAAAACATATTTTTGGATACTTCTTTCATTACATAGTTGTATTGAAATTTTAATTTTACAAAATAACTTTTTTCTAGTGTGAGATAATTTCAAAATGAATATAGAGTTGCTAATATTTTTATTAAATCTAGAATTAATTATATAGTTTTTGCTAATATCCAATACAAGATGAAACGTTTAAATATGTGCAATTTCAGAGCTCTCTTCATTCTACCAAAAAATTTTCGAAATTAAGTATAGATGTGAAGATAAAAAATATATTTTATCAGCTTTTATGGAGTATCTTAATTGAAGCTAGGCAAATGAACGGTAGAATCAAGCAGAAAACCCAATGACATTAACTCAGGCAGGGGAAAAGAACCATCGTTATTATTAATTCGAAGCCAAATCAAAAGTAAGTTTGTAACTTTGAAAATTCCTATTGAAGTACAGAATGAAATTCTGTGTGAATAATCACAATTTGAAAATATATTTTCTTCTAAACTTTCAGTAGAGGTCAGGAGGACTTCTACAAAAATCAGTAATTAAAGATGATGTCATTTTCAGCTAGATATGAATCCATAAAATTATAAGAATTGTGTCAATAAAATGATGAAGTCTAAGGTGAATTATGACGCAACAATTTTTTTGGATTCTATAAAGAATCTAATATTGAAAAGTAAATGTGACAAAATTTCCTACATTATTTTTCTGACTCCAGAAGCTCGTCATATTATAACAAGTCATTTGTAAGTTGATAGTTGATATTTTTTCTGAAACTGATTTCATATATCTGATGTGAATGATTTTGTATGAATTTATATGGAAGAGATTTCCATTCTTTATTTATTTGCAGTTTGGGTAATTGGTCTTCGATAAAAATTATGAATTCTATAACTTTTGCCATTCTCGTGTAATGGAGAAACATCTTTGATATTTCAAATTATGCATTCCTGAGAACTCAATTGAATTGAAAGACGTTTGTTAAATTAGGAGACAAGGTAACAAATCCAACAAAACACAATGATAGATATTCTTGTTTTGGTATTAGAAAAGCAGAATCTGATAGTTACATTTAAATCATTTGGAAAAGGGATGCAATAAAAAGCAGGTTTGTACAATTTGGAAAACTTAATTATATTTTTCAGGCTCTACTAACTACATTGGTAGGCAAATCTCCAAATATTTTTTTCTCATCGTTATTGATAAAAGTACAGGAAGGAAACGTCCATGCCGATAAAGAGTTTGATGTTATTTTATGACCAGGCCGGTACTTTCAGAAAATGACTGTTTCAAATTTTGATATTTTAATTTATCGTGAATTCGCCTGAGCCAAATGAAAATATGTCATATTGTCGAACCAATAAACTAAGCCACTTAACAACGGAGTTTACCATAAAGTTTTTATATCGATTGAAGAAAAGTAATTTGTAATAATGGTTAGACCAGATGAAACAGGAATCAATTGAATTCATGTTTGGAATTACTTCACAGCAACTTTGTGGACAATAGCTTACCACTGATCAGGTCTGTACAAATTTCTTCAAGAAATGATTTATTTTGCAGATTTTCATTATTGGTGTTCTACTAAACATTTTTCTGACTGGTTTAATTATCAAAAATATCTGATGATGGAAATGTATATTGATATTTAGACTTCTCAACGCTAGGCAGAAAGAATTGCAATTTCCAAACTTCGAATTTTACAATTATATTGAAGATACCAAAGACATCAAATGATGCTAAGTGGATCAATTATCAAGCAGAAATGATCAATTCGATCCTCTGGGATTCTACAGATTAGTAACTGAAGAAAAAGTTTATAATGAAGTAATGTAAAAATTACAATTACTTTTTAGAATTCAATAGCTCAGGATTACCTACTTGTAGAAAAATTCAGCAGTTAGCAGCACGCTCTTGTGGACAAATTTCTATATGGGATTTTGGCATGCTATTTGTCAAATGACACCTCTTTAATACTTGTCACCGAAGATGACCCTTTACCAGGTCAGTGAATGGATATTTTTCTGGATTGTAAATGATAGGTTTGAATATTGGGCAACCCATTATATCTTACCTCTAGTTTGAAGTTATGATTCATCAACTTAAAAAAAAGGTGCATCAAATTCAGTTTAGAGAACTAACAAAATTTTACAGTTTTTTTATTTGGTACCAGAAATTGAATGCAAGAGTAGAAATAATTTTGAATTGTATGTCAGGCATTTTTGCAGTCTCAAGTCTGCCATTTGCAAAACCAACGTTTTAGAGTTTTGACAATGACAACTTTAGTACCTAATGTTCATCTATGATTCCGCTTACCTAATGATCAAAACACTTATGGATTCTTTTTTAAAACTAGTGTTAAAGATAACAACTCGTATTCTTCCAGGTCGGTATATTTACCTTAAGGAATTTTTTAAAGGTTTTTCAGATTTCTCTATTTGAGTTTGGAACACAAATTGAAATTTTCATATATTTATTGTGAATGGCAGATTTTGTCACACCAATTGAATTTACTTACATCTGACTTCAAATGACGGGCAGTGTACTTGATGATTTTTCCTAACTGAAATTGGAAGTGTCAACTTGTAACATGAGTATAAGCGGTTCATGAAATTTATGTAATTAGACGACCAATAGAATTTTTGATATTCTTGTTATAATAATCCCAAAACAGATTCTCGTTTCGATAATGAATTGTTCACACCAATTGAATTTTCTCACATCTGACGTCAAGTGGTAGGCGCAGTGAACTTGATGCTTTTCACATTGATAATCACAAAATTGTCCCTCATATATTGATGCCTCAGAAGAAATATTCTCATTTGCTGCCAGGTAATCGCGTTTTCCTTCAGGAGAAATACAAATCTTTTTAGAATTTTACAGATTTTCGTTTTGATAATGACAAAATTGTCCCTCATATATTGATGGCTCGGAAGAAATATTCTCATCTGCTGCCAGGTATGCACGTTTTCTTTCAGGAGAAATACAAATCTTTTCCAGATTTCAATCATGACTTGTTCACACCAATTGAATTTTCTCACATCTGACGTCGAGTGGTAGGCGCAGTAAACTTCATGCTTTTCACAATCGGGATTGGACGTGTCAACTCTACCATTAGTAAACAGGTCCGTCTAATTCGTGTAATAAGATGACCACAAGAATTTTACAGATTTTCGTTTTGATAATGACAAAAATGTCCCTCATATATTGATGCCTCTGAAGAAATACTCTCGTCTGCTGCCAGGGATGCACATTTTTCTTCAGGAGAAATGCAAATTTTTTCCAGATTTCGATCATGAATTGTTCACATCAATTGAATTTTCTCACATCTGACCTAAAGTGGTAGGCGCAGTGAACTTGATGCTTTTCACATTGATAATCACAAAATTGTCCCTCATATATTGATGCCTCTGAAGAAATACTCTCGTCTGCTGCCAGGGATGCACATTTTCCTTCAGGAGAATACAAATCTTTTCCAGATTTCGATCATGAAATGTTCACACCAATTGAATTTTCTACATCTGACAAGTGGTAGGCGCAGTGAACTTGATTATTTTCACAATCGGGATTGGACGTGTCAACTCCACCATGAGTAAAGAAGTTCGTCTAATTCATGTAATAAGATGACCAACAGAATTTTACAGATTTTCGTTTTGTCAATCACAAAGTTGTACATCATATATTGATGTCCCTGAAGAAATACTCTCATTCTGCTACCAGGTATGCACATTTTCCTTCAGGTATGCACATTTTCCTTCAGAAGAAATGCAAATTCTTTCCAGATTTCAATCATGACTTGTTCACACCAATTGAATTTTCTCACATCTGACGACAAGTGGTAGGCGCAGTGAACTTGATTATTTTCACAATCGGGATTGGACGTGTCAACTCCACCATGAGTAAAGAAGTTCGTCTAATTCATGTAATAAGATGACCAACGGAATTTTACAGATTTTCGTTTTGTCAATCACGAAATTGTCCCTCATATATTGATGCCTCAGAAGAAATACTCGTCTGCTGCCATGTAATCACGTTTTCCTTCAGGAGAAATACAAATCTTTTCCAGATTTCGATTCATGAATTGTACACACCAATTGAATTTTCTTACATCTGACGACAAGTGGTAGGCGCAGTGAACTTGATGATTTTCACAAATAGGATTGGACGTGTCAACTCTACCATGAGTAAAGAGGTTCGTCTAATTCATGTAATAAGATGACCACAAGAATTTTACAGATTTTCGTTTTGATAATCACAAAATTGTCCCTCATATATTGATGCCTTAGAAGAAATATATTGATGCCTTAGAAGAAAATACTCTCGTCTGCTGCCAGGTAATCACGTTTTCCTTCAGGAGAAATACAAATCTTCAGGAGAAATACAAATCTTTTCCAGATTTCAATCATGACATGTTCACACCAATTGAATTTTCTTACATCTGACGTAAAGAGGTAGGCGCAGTGAACTTGATGCTTTTCACAATCGGGATTGGACGTGTCAACTCTACCATGAGTAAAGAGGTTCGTCTAATATATTGATGTCCCTGAAGAAATACTCTCATTCTGCTACCAGGTATGCACATTTTCCTTCAGAAGAAATGCAAATTCTTTCCAGATTTCAATCATGACTTGTTCACACCAATTGAATTTTCTCACATCTCACGTAAAGAGGTAGGCGCAGTGAACTTGATGCCTCTCACAATCGGGATTGGACGTGTCAATTCTACCATGAGTAAACAGGTCCGTCTAATTCATGTAATAAGATGACCAAGAGAATTTTACAGATTTTCGTTTTGATAATCACAAAATTGTCCCTCATATATTGATGCCTCAGAAGAAATACTCTCGTCTGCTGCCAGGTAATCAAGTTTTCCTTCAGGAGAATACAAATCTTTTCCGGATTTCGATCATGAAATGTTCACACCAATTGAATTTTCTACATCTGACAAGTGGTAGGCGCAGTGAACTTGATTATTTTCACAATCGGGATTGGACGTGTCAACTCTACCATGAGTAAAGGGGTTCGTCTAATTGTAATAAGATGACCACAAGAATTTTACAGATTTTTGTTTTGATAATTACAATATTGTCCCTCATATATTGATGCCTCTGAAGAAATACTCTCGTCTGCTGCCAGGTATGCACATTTTCCTTCAGGAGAAATACAAATATTTTCCAGATTTCGATCATGAATTGTTCACACCAATTGAATTTTCTCACATTTGACGTCAAGTGGTAGGCGTCAAGTTGATGATTTTGACAATCGAGATTGGGCATTTCAACTCTACCATGTACCATGAGTAAAGATGTTCGTCTAATTCTTGTTATAAGGTGACCAACAGGATTCCATCTGCTGCCAGGTATGCATATTTTCCTTCAGGAGAAATGCAAATTGTTTACAGATTTCGATCGTGAATTGGGCACATCAATTGGATTTGCACAATTGTTAGTATTTTTGTTCTTTGTCACATTTTTTCTTCTAAAGTTTGTCAATTTATAATAACTTTGCTAGATTTTGTTCAACACAAATGAAGCCAATAGGAATTGTTCAACCATGCATTCTGTATTGTTACTACAAAAAAATTGTAGCATCCACCTACTGTAAGTTTGTAGGTGTAGGGTTTATTCACACATTTATATGTAGGTTAATGGTTTGTTTAATTTCTATTTGAGCAATGTGGATTATGCATTTGAGTATAATATACAGTATGGAAACTTTCATTTTCTATTTTATGAACAATGGCCATTTTCTGACCATATATTATGCTTCATATAAGAATGCATCACTTATACAATTTTGTTTTAGTCTTCTTGAAGATAGTCTTTGATGAAAGATTTAATTAAAAACTGTTGATTTTATAGAAACTTTAAGCATAAATATACAATTTCAGATCCAGTTCACGCATGTACTTTTATAGTACTAAAGCCCATTTGTCTTGTGTTTGAACTAACAAATTTATTTTTTTCAATATCTTCTTCCATACTTTCAAAATAGTGATACTTTTGTTGATGCTTTTCTCAATTTGCAATTGCTAATGTTTGATACTTGGTTCTACTAATTGTTGATACAGTTCTAGTAAAGCAATTCACAGCAAGTTTCAACTGCTCAGAAAGTAATACATATTTCAAATATGAGTGTTTCATATATTTTCTGTCTTAGGATTTAGGCTTTCACTGGGTAGTATTGAGCTTTGCATTAAATCATATTATTTTCGATGTTTGTCTTTTAAGTCTACTAACCTAAAAGCACCCCGAAATTAATAGTTTTTTGTACAGATGATTATTGTTGTTATGTTGAATGTTATTAATGTGAAATTTAAAAACAAGTAATGTGCCTATAAGAACTATGTTGAGAAATTACATTTTAAGATAAGAGCAGACCGGCCAACACAATGTTGGCAACATTTTGATGGACGTAACATTCATTGGACAAAGTAATTTGTATCCTGATGATACATGTTTTCAAGTATTGCACGTCTAAACCAAAACCACTTGCCTGTCCAAACCAAAGTAAGTTTCGAAGTAAAATTGGAACTGAACACTGCTACTAGTGCTAGTGCTACACATGCCCAAAAACTATAAAGAAGATGGCAGAGAAAGTTTTTCACCAATGGAACACGCTATGGCAACAACTTAATGTCAGATTTACTTTTGAACGATGGTAGCTCGCACCGCAATTTAATGTCTCACAATGCGGGAGCAACTTCAAACATTTTAGTTAACTCTATCACCAGCTCTTTGGTCCATATTATGTTTGCTGCCGGTCTGGCTTTACTTTTAGCTTAACATAATCTTGCCAGTTTTCAAAGTTTAAAATAAGGTTTTTGGTAAAATAAATTTGATAAGTTGTCTTCATTTATGTGCTTGTTGACATTCTGAATTGAAAAAAAGACCTTTCATTTATCCTGAAAAGTCCTTAATTTTTTGTGTTTGTAACATGCAGTGTTTCGTTTCCTTAGAAGAATGACATATTCCAACTTGAAATATTTGCATCCGAATATTTTTCATTAGTAATGTAATTTATCTTCTGATTTTTTGTGCCTGTTAATGTATTTTAGTGTATTAGTAGTTTTCCTATTTGTGCATTTTTTAATATTATGTCGTCTGCTGCCAGGTATGCACATTTTCCTTCAGGAGAAATGCAAATTTTTTCCAGATTTCGATCATGAATTGTTCACACCAATTGAATTTTCTCACATTTGACGTCGGAAGAAATACTGTCGTCTGCTGCCAGGTATGCACATTTTCCTTCAGGAGAAATACAAATATTTTCCAGATTTCGATCATGAATTGTTCACACCAATTGAATTTTCTCACATTTGCGAGCTGAGGACTAACGAGGTCTTACCTTTTAACGTGTGATTTATAACACGGATTGGACGATAACAAGTAAAAATCGAGCGTTCAGACTGCGGCTTGAACCATCGACTCACACATTGGCCCATTGAGTGAGTGAACAAAGCACCCACGTCGAACCGCCCGGCTACCGACTGATGAAGAAGAAGATTGTTGAAGAAGTTGAAATTGGAAGTAATTAAAAAATCTTTAGACAAGTGAACGAAAACTCGGAAGATCACGTAAAATATTACATTATGATGTTGTATAGTGACCGTGTTGCGGTTTTGTGAACTGTTCAATGAAAATCAAAGTGTTTCACTATACAATAGCTTCATCGGGAAGCTATTGTATAGTGACGTGTTGCGGTTTTATAAACTGTTAAGTGAAAACCTCCCAAAGTGTTACTCGAATATATTTTCTTAGTAACTCTACTCAAAATGAAAATACTTGAAATTTATTTTCTTGCAGGACAATAGCTGGGTGCGGTTGAATTTTTTGTTTTAAGACAATTGTCCATAAGATCAAATGCACTGTTAGAAACATCTATATGAAGATGAATTTCAAAATTTGCTTTCGATTTTTTTCTCCAAACACATTGGCATGCAACAGAAACTTCTTTTTGAAGGACTCTGTAAAAGTGACAAAAGAAGAGTAACTTTTTAATTTCAACTGTGGCATAAACTTGTCAGTTCTATCACTCTGAAACTGGAATGTGATGCTTCCATATTTTTCAACCAATCCTAAAGCAGATATTTCAATCTAAAACTACAAACAGATGAGGACTACGGACTACTAGGACTACGGTCGATTTCAACTCCAAAGACAGCAATAGATTTCAGTTCTTGATTTTCATATCCAAGACAGCAATGAATTTAGGCCCCAAAGGAAGCGATAGATCCAAACTTTAAAGGCAGGGATGGATTCAAAACTACAAAGATGGCGATGGATTTCAGTCCAAAGGGCATTTTAGGATTTCAACCCCAAAGGCAGCGATGCATTTAAACCCCAAAGAAGGAGGTCAATTTCATTTTGAAAGACAGTGGGGGTTTCAGTTTCGGTTTTCAGGGTCCAAAACAGCGATGTAATCGAGCCTCAAAGTGACCATTAGATTCAAAGCTCCAAAGGCAGCAAGGGATTCAAATCCCAAAGGCATTTTGGGATTTCAACCCCAAAGACAGCGATGGATTCAAACTACAAGGAGAGAGGTCAGTTTAAATCCAGAAGGAAGCGTTAAATTCATTTTCAAGAGTGGGTTTTCAGGCTTAAGGATTTCAACCCCAAAGGCGGATTTGAAGTTCAACCCCAAAGGCATTGATGAATTTCAACACCAAAGACAGTGATGGATTTCAACACCAGAGATATTTTAGAATTTCTACACCACAGGCAGCGAGCGATGCATATAAACCCATGCACAGGTCAATTTGATTGCGGAAGACGGCGGAGACATCAGTTTCAGATTCGCAGGCTACAAGAGATTGAATTTGACCCCAGAAAGAAGCGTGAGATTCAATTACATAAGTAGGTTTTCAGGATAAAATATTTCAACTTCAAAGACTGTGATGGATTCAAACCCCCAAGGCATGGATGGGTTTCAACACCAAAGAGCGATGGACTTCGACACCGAAGACATTGATAGATTTCAATACCAAAGAGCAATGGATTTGAACCCCAATGGCAGCGATGGATTTCGACCCTGAAGGCAGCGATGGATTTCGACTCTGAAGGCAGCGATGGAATTCAACCTCGAAGGTGGCGATGAATTTCGAACCCAAAGGCAGCGATGAATTTGAACCCCAAAGGCGGCGATATGTTCAAACCCCAATAGCATGGATGGATTTCCATACCAAAGAGCAGAGGATTTCAATTCCACCGCCAGCGATGAATTTCAATCTCTAAAGCAGCGATGGCTTTCGACCACAAAAGCATCGATGAATTTTGACCCTGAAGGCATGGATAGATTTCAACATCAAAGAGCAATGGATTTCGACCCCAATGGCAGCGATGGATTTCGACCCCGAAGGCGGCCATGAATTTCGACCCCGAAGGCAGCGATGGATTTCGACCCCGAAGCGGCGATGGATTTCGACCCCGAAGGCGGCGGTGGATTTCAACTCCATAGGCGGCGATATCTTCAAACCCCAAAGGCATGGATAGATTTCAACACCAAAGAGCAATGAATTTCAACCCCAATGGCAGCGATGGATTTCGACCCTGAAGGCAGCGATGGATTTCGACCCTGAAGGCAGCGATGGATTTTACCCCGAACGCAGCGATGGATTTCGACCCTGAAGGCGGCGATGGATTTAGACCCCCAATAGCAGCGATGGATTTCAACTCCATAGGCGGCGATATATTCAAACCCCAAAGGCATGGATAGATTTCAACACCAAAGCGCAATGTATTTCAACCCCAATGGCAGTGATGGATTTCGACACTGAAGGCATTGATAGATTTCAATAACAAAGAGCAATAGATTTCAACCCCAAAGGCAGCGATGGATTTCGACCCTGAAGGCAGCGATGGATTTCGACCTTGAAGGCAGCGATGGAATTCAACCCCAAAGGTGGCGATGAATTTCGAACCCAAAGGCAGCGATGAATTTGAACCACAAAGGCGGCGATATATTCAAACCCCAATAGCATGGATTGAGTTCAACACCAAAGAGCAATGGGTTTCAACCCGAATGGCAGCGATGGATTTCCATCCCGAAGGCATGGATAGATTTCAACACCAAAGAGCAACGGATTTCAACCCTAATGGCAGCGATGGATTTCGACCCTGAAGGCAGCGATGGATTTTGACCCCTAAGGCAGCGTTGGATTTCGACCCCGAAGGCGGCGATGGATTTAGACCCCCAATAGCAGCGATGGATTTCAACTCCAGAGGCGGCGATATATTCAAACTCCAAAGTCATGGATAGATTTCAACACCAAAGAGCAATGGATTTCAACCCCAATGGCAGCGATGAATTTCGACCCTGAAGGCAGCGATGGATTTTACCCCGAAAGCAGCGATGGATTTCGACCCCATAAACTGCGATGGATTTCAACCCCATAAACTGCGTTGGATTTCAACCCCATAAATTGCGATGGATTTCGACTCCAAAAGCAGCGGTGGATTTCGACTCCGAAGGCAGAGATGAATTTCAATCCCAAGGGCATTTTAGGAATTCAACCCCAAAGGCAGTGATGGATTTAAATTCCGAAGAGAGAGGTCAATTTATTTTGAAAGACACGGGTTCTCAGATCCGTTTTTCAGGGTCCAAGACAGCAATGAAATTGAGCCCCAAAGGCACCAATAGATCCAAAACTCCAAAGGCAGCGATGGATTTCAATCCAAAAGGCATTTTAGGATTTGAACCTCAAAGCAGCGATGGATTCAAACGCCTAGGAGATTCATTTCCAAGAGTGGGTTTTCTGGCTCCAGGATTTCAACCCCAAAGGCAGAATATAATTTCAACTCCAAAGACATTTAAGGATTTCTACACTACAGGCAGCAATGCATATAAAACTCAAGGACAGAGGTCAATTTCATTGCGAAAGACAGTGGGGACATCAGTTTCAGATTCCCAGGCTACTAGACATTGATGAATTTGACCCCAGAAGGAAGTATGAGATTCAATTACATAAGCAGGTTTTCATCCTAGAGGATTTCAACTTCGAAGGCGGCGATGGATTCAAACCCCCCAAAGGTATGGATAGATTTCATCCCCAAAGGCAGCGATGAATATCAACCCCAAAGGCGGCGATATTATAAAACCCCCAAGGCATGGATGGATTTCAATACCACAGAGCAATGGTTTTCAACCCTAATGGAAACAGTGGATTTGAACCCCAATGGCAGCGATAGATTTCAACCCCAAAAGCGGCGATGAATTTCAACCCCAAAAGCGGCGATGAATTTCAACCCCAAAGGCGGCGGTGGATTTCAATCCCAAAGGCTGCGGTGGGTTTCAACCCCAATGGCAGCAATGGATTTGAACCCCAATGGCAGCGATAGATTTCAACCCTATGGCAGTGATGGATTTCAACCACAAAGGCGGCGATGGATTTCAATCCCAATGACATGCAGCGATGGTTTCAACCTCAACAGCAGCGATGCATTTCAACTTCATTGAATCTTCAAACCCTAAGGCCAGAGGTCAATATCAAAAGACTGCGAAGGGTTTCAGTTCCAGATTTCTTGGTCCAAGGCAGCGATAACTGAAACCCCCAATACTATCCATGATAATTATAAGAATTTTTACAATAAATTTTATTGAAAATTGAGCTTTGCTACATGGTAGCTCTTGTCATTTACTGGTACCAGTAACTGATGAAGCTAACGTGAAAATTTTACAATCGTTATCATGGAAACTATTATTAATTTTCATCAAATGAAGGGTTGGAGTATTCATAATTATCAACCCTGAAGAAAAGAGTAGCTCGTAAAAGCAGCAGATAATTATTTTTCTCTAAAGACAGTGATAGATGTCAACCTCAAAGAAAGCGATGAATTTCAACTCCAAAGGCGACAATGGATTCCAACCTTGAAGGCATAGGATTCAAACCCCAAAGGCAGATATTCCAACCTCAAGAAATGGATTTCAACCCAAAAGTCACCAATTGATTTCACCCCATATTTTCTGACACAAAGGCAGATATGAAGTTGAACTCCAAAGGCATCGATGTATTCAAATTAAAAAAGTAGACAGGATTTAAGCCTCAAAGTTACCGATGAATATGGGTATTCTAGTCCAAGGACGATAGACCTTGCCCCAAACAGTGGATTCGAATCTCAAAAGCAGAGATGGGTTTCAACTCCTAAGGCAGAGATGGATTCCAAAACCAAGGGCAGAGATGGATTTCAACTTCGACAGAGATGGGTTTCAATTTCAACGGCAGCGAAGAATTTCAATCCCAAAGGCGGCGATGGATTTTGACACCAAAGGCAGCGATGAATTTGAACCCCAAAGGCAGCGATATATTTTCAACACCAAAGAGCAATGGATTTCAACCCCAAAAACTGCGATGGATTTCGACTCCATAGGCAGCGGTGGATTTCAATCCCAAGGGCATTTTAGGATTTCAATCCCAAAGGCAGTGATGGATTTAAACCCCGTAGGTAGAGATCAATTTCATTTTGAAAGACAGTGGCAATTTCAGTTCCGGTTTTCAGGGTCCTAGACAGCGATTAAATTGAGCCCCAAAGGAAGCAATAGATCTAAAACTCCAGAAGCAGCAAGGGATTCAAAACTCCAAAGGCAGCGATGTATTTCAATCCCAAAGGCATTTTAGGATTTCAACCCCAAAGCAGCAATGGATTCAAACCCCAGAAGATTCATTTTCAAGAGTGGGTTTTCAGGCTCAAGGATTTTAATTCCGAAGGCATTCGAAGTTCAACCACAAAGGCATAGATGAATTTCAATACCAAAGACAGTGATGGATTTCAACCTCATATACATTTTATGGTTTCTTCACCACAGGCCGCAATGCATATAAAACCCATGGACAGAGAGAGGTCAATTTCATTGCCAAAGACAATGGAGATATCAGTTTCAGATTCTCTGGCTGCAAGACATTGATGAATTTGACCCCAGAAGGAAGCGTAAGATTCAATTACATAAGCAGGTTTTCAGGCTAGAAGATTTCAACTTCAAACACGGTGATGGATCCAAACCCCCAAGGCATGGATGGATTTCAACACCAAAGAGCAATGGAATTCAACCACAATGACAGCGATTTCGACCCTGAAGGCGGAGATGTACTTCAACCCCAAAGCTGGCGATGAATCTCAACACCAGAGGCGGCGGTGGATTTCAATCCCAAGGACATTTTAGGATTTTATTTCCAATGGCAGTGATAGATTTAAACCCGGAAGAGAGAGGTCAATTTCATTTTGAAAGACACTGGGGATTTCAGTTCCGGTTTTCAGGGTCCAAGACAGTCAAGAAATTGAGCCCCAAAGGAACCAATAGATCCAAAACTCCAAAAGCAGCAAGGGATTCAAAACTCCAAAGCAGCGATGGAATCAAACCCCAGAAGATTCATTTCCAAGAGTGGGTTTTCAGGCTAAAGGATTTCAACCCCAAAGGCATACAAAGTTCAAACACAAAGGCATTGATGAATTTCAATACCAAAGACAGTGATAGTTTTGATGGATTTTGAACCTCAAAGACATTTTAGGGTTTTTACACCACAGGTCACAATGCATATAAAACCCAAAGACAGAGGTCAATTTCTTTGCGATAGACAGTGGAGATATCAGTTTTACATTCTCTCGCTACAAGACATTGATGATTTTGACCCCAGAAGGAAGCGTAAGATTCAATTACATAAGCAGATTTGCAGACTAGAAGATTTCAACTTCAAAGGCGGCGATGGGTCCAAACCCCCTAAGGCATGGATGGATTTCAACACCAAAGAGCAATGGATTTCAACCCCAATGGCAGCGATGGATTTCGTCCCCAAGGGCGGCAATGGATTTCAACCCCAAAGGCGGCGATGGATTTCAACCCCAAAGGCGCCAATGGATTTCAACACCAAAGGCAGTGATGGATTTAGACCACAAAGGCAGTGATGAATTTCAACCCCAATGGCAGCCGATGGATTTCGACCCCGAAGGCGGCGATGGATTTCAACCCCAAAGGTGGCGATGGATCTCAACACCAGAGGCGGCGATGGATTTCAACTCCATAGGCAGCGGTGGATTTCAATCCCAAGGACATTTTAGGATATCAACTCCAAAGGCAGTGATGAATTTAAACTCCGAAGAGAGAGGTCAATTTCGTTTTGAAAGACAGTGGGAATTACAGTTCAGGTTTTCAGGGTCCAAGACAGTGATGAAATTGAGCCCGAAAGGAACCAATAGATCCAAAACTCCAGAAGCAGCAATGGATTCAAAACTCCAAAGGCAGCGATGGATTTCAATCGCAAAGGCATTTTAGGAATTCAACCCCAAAGCAGCGATGGATTCAAACCCCAGAAGATTCATTTGCAAGAGTGGGTTTTCAGGTTCAAGGATTTCAACCCCAAAGGCATTCGGTATTCAATCACAAGACATGGATTTCAACCTCAAGACATTTTAGGGTTTCTACACCACAGGCAGCAATGCATATAAAACCCAAGGACAGAGGTCAGTTTCATCGCGAAAGACAGTGGAGATATCAGTTTCAGATTCTCTGACTACAAGACATTGATGAATTTGACTTCAGAAGGAAGCTTAAGATTCAATTACATAAGCAGGTTTTCAGGCTAGATGATTTCAACTTCAGAAACTGCGATGGATCCAAACCCCCAAGGCATGGATGAATTTCAACACCAAAGCGCAATGGATAGCAGCGATGAATTTCAACCTCAAAAGCGGCGATGGATTTAGACCCCGAAGGCAGCGATGAATTTCAACTCCCAAGGCGGCGATATATTCAAACCTCAAAGGCATGGATAGATTTCAACACCAAAGCGCAATGGATTTCTACCCCAATGGCAACCATGGATTTCGACACTGAAGGCATTGATAGATTTCAATACAAAAGAGCAATGGATTTCAACCTCAATGGCAGCGATGGATTTCGACCCTGAAGGCAGCGATGGAATTCAACCCCAAAGGTGGCGATGAATTTCGAACCCACAGGCAGCGATGAATTTGAACCCCAAAGGCGGCGATATATTCAAACCCCAATAGCATGGATTGTGTTGGACACCAAAGAGCAATGGATTTCAACCCTAATGGCAGCGATGGCTTTCCATCCCGAAGGCATGGATAGATTTCAACACCAAAGAGCAACGGATTTCAACTCCAATGGCAGTGATGAATTTGGACCCTGAAGGCAGCGATGGATTTTGACGCCTAAGGCAGCGATGGATTTCGACCCCGAAGGCGGCGATGGATTTAGACCCCCAATAGCAGTGATGGATTTCAACTCCATAGGCGGAGATATGTTCAAACCCCAAAAGCATGTATAGATTTCAACACCAAAGAGCAATGGATTTCAAACCCCAATGGCAGCGATGAATTTCGACCCTGAAGGCAGCGATGGATTGCGACCCCGAAGGCGGCGATGAATCCCAAGGGCATTTTAGGATTTCAACCCCAAAGGCAGTGATGGATTTAAACTCCGAAAAGATTGGTCAATTTCATTTTGAAAGACACTGGGGTTTTCAGATCCGGTTTTCAGGGTCCATGACGACGATGAAATTGAGCCCCAAAGGCACCAATAGATCCAAAACTCCAAAGGCAGCGATGGATTTCAATCCAAAAGGCAATTTAGGATTTGAACCTCAAAGCAGCGATGGATTCAAACGCCTAGGAGATTCATTTCCAAGAGTGGGTTTTCAGGTTCCAGGATTTCAACCTCAAAGGCAGAATAGAATTTCAACCCCAAAGACATTTAAGCATTTCTACACTAAAGACAGCAATGTATATAAAACCCAATGACAGAGGTGAATTTCATTGCGAAAGACAGTAGGGATATCAGTTTCAGATTCCCAAGCTACTAGACATTGATGAATTTGACCCCAGAAGGAAGTATGAGATTCAGTTACATAAGCAGGTTTTCAGCCTAGAGGATTTCAACTCCAAAGGCGGCGATGGATTTCAACCCCAAAGGCGGCGATATTATAAAACCCCTAAGGCATGGATGGATTTCATTACCAACGATCAATGGATTTCAACCCCAATGGGAGCAATGGATTTCAACCCCAATGGCGGTGATGGATTTTGATCCCAAAAGCGGCGATGAATTTCAACCCCAAAGGCGGCGGTGGATTTCAACCCCAATGACAGCGATGGATTTCACCCCCAATGGCAGTGATGGATTTCAACCAAAAAGGCGGTGATGGATTTTGATCTCAAAGGCAATGATGGATTTCGACTCCAAAGGCAACGATGGATTTCAATCCCAAAAACTGTCATGGATTTCAACTCCAAAGGTAGCAACGGATCAGAGATCAATTTCATTTCCGAATGTAGGCAAAATATTTCAGTTCCAGATTTTTTGGTCAATGGCATTGATGGATTTTAACGATGGTTTTCAATCCCAATAACATGCAGCGATGGTTTCAACATCAACAGCAGCGATGAATTTTAACTTCATTGAATCTTCAAACCCTAAGGCCACAGGTCAATTTCAAAAGGCTGCAAAGGGTTTCAGTTCCAGATTTCTGGGTCCGAGCAGCGATAACTGAAACCCCAAATACTATCCATGATAATTATAAGAATTTTCACAATAAATTTTAATAAAAATGAGCTTCGCTACAAGGTAGCTCTTGTCATTTATTGGTACAATTAACTGATGAAGCCAACGTGAAAATGTTATAATCGTTATCATGGAAAGTATTATTAATTTTCATCAAATAAAGGGTCGGAGTATTCATAATTTTCAACCCTGAAGAAAAGAGTAGCTCATAAAAGCAGCAAATAATTATTTTCCTCTAATGGCAGTGATAGATGTCAACCTCAAAGATAGCGATGAATTTCGACTCCAAAGGCGACAATGGATTCCAACCTTGAAGGCATAGGATTCAAACCCCAAAGGCATCGATGTATTGAAATTAAAAAGTTAGACAGATTTAAGCCTCAAAGTCACCAATGAATTTGGGTATTCTAGTCCAAGGACGATAGACCTCGCCCCAAACAGTGGATTTGAATCCCAAAAGCAGAGATGGGTTTCAACTCCTAAGGCAGAGATGGATTCCAAAACCAATGGCAGAGCTGGATTTCAACTTCGACAGAGATGGATTTCAATTTCGAAGGCAGCGATGAATTTCAATCCCAAAGGCGGCGATATATTTTCAACACCAAAGAGCAATGGATTTCAACCCCAATGGCAGCGATGGATTTCAACCCCGAAGGCGGCGATGGATTTCAACCCCAAAGGTGGCGATGGATTTCAACCCCAAAAACTACGATGGATTTCGACTCCATAGGCAACGGTGGATTTCAATCCCAAGGGCATTTTAGGATTTCAATCCCAAAGGCAGTGATGGATTTCAATCCCAAAGGCAGTGATGGATTTAAACCCCGAAGATAAAGGTCAATTTCATTTTGAAAGACAGTGGGAATTTCAGTTCCGGTTTTCAGGGTCCTAGACAGCGGTTAAATTGAACCCCAAAGGAACCAATAGATCCAAAACTCCAAAAGCAGCAAGGGATTCAAAACTTCAAAGGCAGCGATGTATTTCAATCCCAAAGGCATTTTAGGATTTCAACCCCAAAGCAGCGATGGATTCAAACCTCAGGAGATTCATTTCCAATAGTGGGTTTTCAGGCTCAAGGATTTCAACACCAAAGGCATTCGAAGTTCAACCACAAAGGCGTAGATGAATTTCAATACCAAAGACAGTGATGGATTTCAACCTCAAATACATTTTAGGGTTTCTACACCACAGGCCGCGATGGATATAAAACCCATGGACAGAGGTCAATTTCATTGCCAGAGACAATGGAGATATCAGTTTCAGATTCTCTGGCTACAAGACATTGATAAATTTGATCCCAGAAGGAAGCGTAAGATTCAATTACATAAGCAGGCTAGAAGATTTCAACTTCAAAGACGGTGATGGATCCAAACCCCCAAGGCATGGATGGATTTCAACACCAAAGAGCAATGGATTTCAACCACAATGACAGCGATGGATTTCGACCCCAAAGGCGCCGATGGATTTAGACCACAAAGGCAGTGATGAATTTCAACTCCAAAACCGGCGATATATTCAAACCCCAAAGGCATGGATAGATTTCAACACCAAAGAGCAATGGATTTCAACCCCAATGGCAGCGATGGATTTCGACCCCGAAGGCGGGAATGTACTTCAACCCCAAAGGTGGCGATGGATCTCAACACCAGAGGCGGCGGTGGATTTCAATCCCAAAGACATTTTAGGACTTCATTTCCAATGGCAGTGATGGATTTGTACCCCGAAGAGAGAGGTCAATTTCATTTTGAAAGACAATGGGGATTTCATTTCCGGTTTTCAGGGTCCAAGACAGTGAAGAAATTGAGCTCCAAAGGAACCAATAGATCCAAAACTCCAAAAGCAGCAAGGGATTCAAACCCCAGAAGATTCATTTGCAAAAGTGGGTTTTCAGACTCAAGGATTTCAACCCCAAAGGCATTCGATATCCAATCACAAAGGCATAGATGAATTTCAACACCGAAGACATGGATTTCAACATCAAAGACATTTTAGGGTTTCTACACCACAGGCAGCAATGCATATAAAACCCAAGGACAGACATCAATTTCATAGCGAAAGACAGTGGAGATATCAGTTTCAGATTCTCTGGCTACAAGACATTGATGAATTTGACTTCAGAAGGAAGCGTAAGTTTCAATTACATAAGCAGGTTTTCAGGCTAGATGATTTCAACTTCAAAGACGGCGATGGATCCAAACCCCCAAGGCATGGATGAATTTCAACACCAAAGCGCAATGGATGGCAGCGATGAATTTCAACCCCAAGAGCGGCGTTGGCATTAGACCCCGAAGGTAGCGATGAATTTCAACTCCTAAGGCGGAGATATATTCAAACCCCAAAGGTATGGATAGATTTCAACACCAAAGAGCAATGGATTTTTACTCCAATGGCAGCGATGGATTTCGACCCTCAAGACAGCGATGGATTTCGACCCCGAAGGCAGCGATGGATTTCGACCCCGAAGGCAGCGATGGATTTCGACCCCGAAGGCGGCGATGGATTTTGAACCCGAAGGCGGCGATGGATTTCAACCCCAAAGGCGGCGGTGGATTTTACCCCAAAGGCGGTGGTGGATTTTAACCCCAAAGGCGGTGGTGGATTTCGACTACGAAGGTGGCAATGGATTTCGACTCCAAAGGCAGCCATGGATTTCAACCTCAATGGCATAGATGGATTTCAACCACAAAGGCGGCGATGGATTTCAACCACAAAGACGGCAGTGGATTTCAACCACAAAGGCGGCAGTGGATTTCAACCACAAAGGCGGCGGTGGATTTCGATCTAACAGGCAACAATGGATTTCAACTCCAAAAGCGGCGATGGATGTCAACCCCAAAAACTACGATGGATTTCGACTCCAAAGAACAGCAGCGATGGATTTTAACTCCATTGAATCTTCAAACCCTAAGGCAGAGGTCAATTGCAAAAGGCCGCGAAGGGTTTCAGTTCCAAATTTCTTGGTCTAACTGAAACCCTAAATACTATTCATGATAATTTTAAGAATTTTCACAATTGATTTTATTAAAATGGCGCTTCGCTACACAGTAACTCTATCAGTAACTGATCAAGCTAACGTGAAAGTTTTATAATCATTATCATGGAAAGTACTATTTTTTTTTTCATCAAATAAAGGGTCAGAGTATTCATAATTTTCAACTCCAAAAAAAGGAGTAACTCGTAAAAGCAGCAAAGGATTATTTTCCTCCAAAGGCAGCGATGAATTTCAACTCCAAAGGCGACGATGGATCCAACCTCATAAAATGGATTTCAACCCAAAAGTCACCAATTGATTTCAACCCATATTTTCTGGTATAAAGGCAGAGATGAATTTAAAACTCCAAAGGCAGAGATGGCTTCTAACCCCGAGGACAGATATGGATTCCAACTCCAAGGGCAGAGATGGATTCCAACTCCAAGGGCAGAGATGGATTCCAACCTCAAGGGCAGAGATGGATTTCAACTTGTCAGAGATGGATTTCAACTCCATCGACAGAGATGAATTCAAATCCAACGACACAGATGGATTCCAACCCCTAAAGCAGAGATAGATTTCAACTTCAAGGACAGAGATCAGAGATGAATTTAAAGTACAATGACAGATATAGATTCCAACGAAATGGATTCCAACCAAGGCGGAAAAACATTCTATGCCAAAGACAGATGGATTCCAACCTCAAAGGGAGGTTCAAAAGGTGATGAGTTTTGTTTGATGAGAGTAGAGTCTCGTGGGGATTATTTAGGTAATTTTTATGCACTAATTCAAGACACTGTGAGTGATTGTTGCGTTTTACTTTCAGAGTCATGTATTCTGTCAATGCTAGCTGTTTCCAAAAGTGATGATGAATTTGGAATCAGTGGAATTGAAAATCAGAATTATATCGGCAACAGCAACTGTGGGTTCAAAACTCCAAGGGCAGTGACGGATTCAAAACTCCAAAGGCAGCAATGCATTTAATACCCAAGGACAGAGTTCAATTCCATTTCAAAAGAGAATGGGGATATCGGTTCCATATATTCAGGGTACAAGGCAACAAAGACTTCGAACCCAAAATGAAGCGCTAGATTCAAATCCATGAGCAGGTTTTCAGCCTCTAAGGATGGATTTTCAACTGCAAAGGCGGCAATGGATATCAACCCTAATTACGCGGTGGACTTCAACCACAATAGAGATGCATTTCAACCCCAAAGGCAGCGATGGATTTTTAAATTTGAAGGCGGCGATGGATTCCAACTTTGATGGCAGAGAAGGATTCCAACCTCAAAGTGAGAGATCGATTTGAAATCCAAAGGCAGCAATGGATCTCAGGTCTAGTTTTTACGGTAGAAGCCAACATGTGATTCAAAATTCAAGGAATTCAATGGATTAAATCTCTGAAGGCAGTGGATTTCAACCCCAATTGGTTTTAACCCTGAAAGCTGCAATAAATTTCTGGACTTTATTTTCTGGCACAAAGACAGAGATGGAGTTGAACTCCAAAAGCATTGATGTATTCAAATCAAAAGGGTAGACAGATTCGAGCCTCAATGCCACCGATGAATTTGGGTATTCTAGTCCAAGGATGATAGACCCTACCCCAAAGACAGTATTGAATTCCAAACCCAAAAGCAGATATGGATTTTAATCCCTAAGACATGTATGTATTTAAACTTCAAAGGCAGAGATGGATTCTAATCCCAACGACAGAGATGGATTCCAACTCCAAAGGCAGAGATGGACTTGTACCCCAAAGAAGGCATTTAATTTCAATCATAGTGAATTTCAAATCCAAATTTTCACTACCAAAGACAGATGGAGTTTAACCGCAGAGGTTTCAAATCCAAAAAGTGGAATTCAATACTTAAAGCCAACAGTGGATTCAGATATCAAAGAAGATGGAGCTTACCCTAAAGTTGGAGATGGATTTTTACTTAAGGCAGAGATTGATTCAAACCCAAAAGGCAGCAGTGGATTTCAGGTGTTCGGGTTTTCAGACTCCTAAAGCAGTGATGGATTTTTAACCCCAAAGGCTGAAATGGATTTCATACCGGTAGGTAGAGAGATTCAGGCCCCAAAGTGGATATGGATTTCAACTTCGAAGGCAGATATGGATTTAGATAGGCATGGATCCCAATTACAAGGAAGAGATGGAAATGAATCTCAAAGACAGCAATAGATCTCGGATGCAGATTGTCAGGTTCAAAAGCATCAGTGGATTCCAACCCCAAAGGTAACAATAAATTTCTGGTCCCTACTTTCTGGTCCAAAGGTTCAACATCAAAGGCATCGATTCATTCAAATCATAAAGGAAGACAGATTAAAGCCAATGATGGATTACGGTGTTCTAGTCCAAAGAAAATGGACCTCACTACACAGGCAGTGATGAATTTCATTCAGTCCAAAAGGTGGAGATGGATTTTGACCCCAAAGGCAGAAATGGACTTCAACTCCAATGACTTCAATGACAAGAAGATTCCAACTTCAAAGGAAGATACAATAGGTACAATACGTTGTGTTTGGGATTTGGTGTCTTGTGAAGATCATTTAGGTAAGTTTTATGCACTATTTCAAGATACTGTGATTGATTATTGACTTTTATTTGCAGAGTGATGTATTCTGTCAAAGGTACCTTTTTCCAAAAGTGATAATAAATTTGGAATCAATGGATTTGGGATTCAGAATTATAGTGGCACTAGCAACCATGGGTTTTAATAGATCTTAACTCCAACTGCAGTGATAAAATTCACTTACACTTGAAGTTTATATTTACTTGGATTGGAATATAAACAAATGGTGTTAGCGATATATTTCAGCCTCATGGCCATGGTTTTCTTCTCCAAATTTCAATTGCAAATATGCATTTCAACCTCACTGGCAGGGATGGATTTCAACCCCGAAGGCAGTGATGGATTTCAACCCCAAGGACAGGAGTCAATTTTATTCCCAAAGACAAGATGGATTTCAAGTTCCAGGTTTCAGCTTAGCAGGTCCAAAGTCAAAGATGGATATATACTCCAGAAGTAGAGGGCTTCAGATTCAAAGGCAGCAATGTTTGAAACCAACTCCAAAGGCAGACATTTCAATCCCAAAGAATGAATTATGGATTCCAACTCCNAGGCCACTTGTTAAATTTTGTGTTCTATACCAGTATATTTTGAAACAGTTTTAATGAAAAACTGTCTTTCATTTGGAATAACTGGCTCTAGGTCATTTCAAAAATATGTGATAAATTCTAAAATGGAGCACATAATTTAAACTTGTAGCTTAAGCTGTTCTATGCTAAACATAGTGACACACATGGAAATAATATGTTTACATATCGTGTTTGAACACATTAGTCTATTCGTCACAATATTTCCTCCTTTTTTGTCTTTTTCTTGTTTATTCGACAAATTATTGATTTTCACATACTGTGTTTTGGCATGGAGCAGCTAGTCTGTTGAACTTGAAACATATGAGTTCAACGGAGAATGTTAAATCTAAAAAAAATTATTTATCTTCATTCTCACATTTCAGGAGACTATATTTAAAAAAGATGAATTTTGGGGACCGAACCAACAATAGCATTTTTACAATATTTTTGAAGATATGTCTACTCTAGTTCAGAAAGGAGTTCCTTTGTAGGCCCATTGATGATGTTTGGTTCCAATGAGAAATTTGTTTCAACTGTCAACTCTGAACTTTGTTTCTAAGAGCTGTCGTGCATATTGACAAAACAAATGATTTTGATTTTATGAAATGTCAAATACTGCAAATGCAGACTGATAACTGCTAGAAGCAATGCTTCCATGAGGGATTTCAAGGCCGACTGAGGATTTTTATACTATCTGGGAAAGGAGGGAATATAGGATGGAGACGGAGGCGTATTTGTGCTCCACAGAATGGCAACTTTGGATTTAATGAGACGGCGACGAACCGTTATGGATTTCAACTTTATGCGACTGCATAAGATTTTATCTCCATGAGATCACCATCAAATTTAGCTTCCATAGGACTTGAGCAAGATATCGGTTTCCACGGTACAGTGATATATTTTGGCTGGCTCCATGGACGTCGGCGGATTTTGTAATGGTGAAGAGCTCCGGATTTTCGTTTTCACCGGAGGTAGGCAAATTTCGACTCCATGGTACTTATCCACATTCCGGCTCCCATCGTACAGTGGCGGATTTTGGCTTCATGGATAGCGACAGATTATGGCTCCACTGGCGGCAAGGGATTATGGCTTCACTGACGGCGACGAATTTTAGCTACATGTGACATAAGCGGATTTCGGCCCTACGGGACATAGGCGGATTTCGGCCCTACGGGACATAGGCGGATTTCGGCCCCACACGAAATAGGCGGATTTTGGTCCCACACAAAATAGGCGGATTTTGGTTTCATGGAACAGCAGTGAATGTTGACTCCTTGGATTGGCAGATTTCAAAGTTGGGACTACATTAGCTCCACGAGATCACGACTGACTTCAGCTTCCATAGGACGTAGGCAAATATTGGCTCCCACAACCAGTGGCGAATTTTGGCTGTACGGACGGCGGCATATTTTGGCTGTACGGACGGCGGCATATTTTGGCTTTAGGGGCAGCGATGGATTTTGGCTTCCACGGAATGTAAGCTGATTTTGGCTCCAGGGCATAGATGACTTCTGTTTTATGGTAGCTTCTATAGAACGTCGGAACATGCTGACTCCCACAGTACAGTGACGGATTTTGACTGCATTGATGGCGGCGGAGTTTGTATCCAATGACATCAGTGACGGTGGCAGGTTTTGGTTTCACGAGCAGGCTTTGCTTTCATGGGACAAGGGTGAACTTGGCTTAATGGATTGACAGCGGATTTCAACTTAGGAACCACGTCAGATTTTAGCTCCATGAAATCATGGCCAACTTTAGCTTCCATTGGATGTGGTAGATAACGGCTCCCATGGGTGGCGGTGAGTTTCGGCTCCCTTGGACGGTGGCGGGTTTTGGCTCCCCTGGACGGCGATGGATATCGATTGTAATGGACTGTGGCGGGTTTAGACTTCCAAGGACGGCTGCGGGTTTTGGCTCCCAAGGACTGCGGCGGGTTTTGGCTCCTAGGGGCGGCGGCGGGTTTTGGCTCCCATGGACGGCGGCGGGTTTTGGCTCCCATGGACG